CCCTTTGACAACCGCTGAGCGGTTCAAAGAATTCTTCAAGGTGAAGAAACTCCAAGGGTTGAGTCCTTCTAAAACCGCTGAGCGTCTGGGACCCCGAATTTGAAATGCACCCCTAGGACCAATCCACTTAGCCCTTTCCAATGGTTGAGCCGTCTGGTCCCCCTATTCCAAAATTGCTTGCGGCCTTGAAAGTGCTCAACTCATCAAAGGGCTGAGCTGTTTTCTTCTCAAGTTCTTCAAACTCTTAACTTCCTAGGCCTGCAAAACAAGGAACAAATATCTCTAATAAAAATCATCTACACTCCACAAAATGCTTCACTTAACACCCTTTTGATTCTATTTATAACATAGGGGTTTACTTATCCTTTCCATATTAAATTACTAAATAAGTGTCAAAAATTGATTAACTATTTAAGTAAATTTGACACTTATCAGAGATCTCCAATTATTAATTGAGGTTGGATGCACCTTCTTTAAGGAATTGAATTGACTTGTTTAAGTAAGTACCTGCCTTTCAACCTAGTAGTTTGTTGGTGCTTTTGTATTATTTGTGAGTAGTTATTTTGCTGGCTGAGGTGCTATTTCGAAACTTCTCTAATTGATGTTGAGAAGAAATCAGATGAAGATGCTCCTTTAAAGAAGCAGATATTATCACTTGATGCAAGCTTTGACACAACATATTTTCAGTTGAAGGTGCCTGGGTTTCCTTGTGAGTTCTTATAATTTCTCAACAAGTTGTACTTAAGAGCTAATCTGCTTCTACCTTTAAAACTATAGGTTTGCTATGTTTTAACATGCCACAAGGCCACTTTTCGTTGTGTTCTTGTTGTTGCTCCTGTGCTTATTGCATGCTGCTTTTTAATCCTAGTCATTATGAGGCAGAATATCATAGCTTGTGCAACACAAGACAAACCTCGGGAGAAATGATTATTTTGAAATTTAAGTTCTCATGCCACAGATGTATTTTAGCTTTTATTTTTAGGTGAAATGTAACTTCTTCACAAAATTGTGTGGGCTAATTATTTAAGTTTAAGAAAAATGGACAATGGATGAGGAGGTGAACAAACGTGAAATTGTGGCTGAATGATAACATTACTTAAATTACTGATTACCTGTTAATTAATTCAAGGCTTTTGAACTTCTCTTTTCTTGTTAGTGAGCAGTGGAATATTTGAATTAGTGGGATAAGGCTATTGTTGTTGTTGTTGTTTTGTATTTAGATATGTAAGGCTCTATCCAGTATCCATGCCTGGTGCATTTCTTTGTGACTTAAGACTTTTGCTTTCCCTCCTAGTTTGATTCACGTTCTCTTTGTTTTTCCTGTTTGCATTCTAATGGAACCGAAGGTTGTTTGGACATGGTTACTGACTGTGTGCCTTTGTATAGATACTGCACAAAGTGTAGATTAAACTCATGCTTTTTCACAATTTCACCTAAACTGAATCAATGGTACAACTTGCCTAAAGCTTCTGTGCACCATTTTTCCTATTATTTTTAACCACATTATAGAATTATTGTTGCCTGTTGATGAGGGAAAAATGCTCAGAGTTCATAATGATTTTATTGATGCAATTATTTTTCTTCTTTTCTTCTTTTTTCTGAATTAAATCTGGAAGTTTGTGTTAAATTTACAAATTCTTTAGTGTTTTCTGATGTTTTAATGCTAAAGGCTATTAACTGACTAATAGCAATAGACTTGTCATCTTAAAATGGGATCATACTAGTTGTTTGCAACACCAATAGCCTTGGGGCCTACAAAAGGATTAAAGAGTAAATTTCATAAAACAAATTTATGGTATCCTTTTGTGATCAATGCTCATCATGGTCCTTTTGTTGTGTCTAATCCAACAGTACAATAATATACTGTTATGAACAAAAAGATTATTTTGATTGGGTTCTATTATTTAAAAGTAATGGTACAAACATAATGATGAAGCTCACCAAATTTCTTAGGGTGGAAACTAGAGCATGAGTTATTAAATGAAATAAGTGGATATCCTGTCTCTCTCTCTCTCTCTCTCTATATATATATATATATATATATATAATATTAGATGGGATATTTTTTAAGGGTTAGTGGAAGAATTTTGTGGTGTAGAGTGACAAATTGCCTTACATCAGAAACATAATTAAGTTCCATGGAAGAAGAATATCAATACTCTGGAAGTGGTGAAGAATTACAGGCACGGGAACTGGATGGAGAAGATCAAAAGCTGCAGCATCACTGCCAACTACCTGGAGCTGAAGAGAAACTTGTATTACAGTTTATGGATTCGATGCATAACTACCTATCTCTATTTGATGAAGTGTCCTCTGCACTTCGACAGGTAAAAGCAAAACCCTTTCAAATTTCAATACGAGAAATTGGTAGCACCTTTCAAAATTTCCAGTTTACCATATAGCTTTAAATTTAATTTTCTGATCTGTTCATTCTGAATTGTGATTGGGAACTTGTTGCATAATAGATACGAGTTCTGATACTGTAGTTGACCCTGTAATTCGGCAACTAAAAATATTGCTTTGATATAGTATGAGTTCTGTCTTTTGGTTAACCATTTTTAACCTATTGGCAGGGATGGTTTGACCTAGCGAGTGCCCGACATTCCATGGGTGCTTCTCGCATTAATAGTTCTTTATTGGACCTGAAATTCCATCCAGCTGCTACAACATTGAAGATAACCAACTGTGATGGTAAAATTTGAGATTTATACGTTGATACTGCTTCATCCTACTGGTGTCCTTTTCTCATCCCTGGTGTGCTAGCATGCTATACTTACATTTCTATGAGGCCTTTATGTAACATGTTCTTTATATCAATTTAGATGGAATATCTGTTTTAATATATGAACTATTGCACTTGACTCAATAGGTACACAGCCACACTTCATGTTGCGTAAATGGGTATCCTCTGAACATGAGAGTACTCAGTTAGAAGATGAGCATGTGCAGCCTCAAGATGATAGTGTGAAATCTTCTGGTATGGTTTTCTTCTCCCTATGCCTCAACAATGGTTTGTACTAAGCATAATGCAATATCTTTTCCTTTAGACATTAGCATACTGTAATTTAAACCGGATATTAGGGTAAATCCCAAAATTAAACATACACATCAGAACAAACTTTAGTTCATTTGTTATTTGATTCTGCTGCTATATGCTTTAAGTAGCACGTTAGCTGTTTCTCATTTTGTAATTTTGTTATGTTTGGTTATACGAACTGAGGTGACCATGTCAAAGAACTTTTCAGGACTTGCAGATAATGATGAAGTAAGTATTCTACGAGTGTCTTCACTTCCACTCATTAGCATATATTAAGCATAACAAGTAGAAATGGATTGGATCTATAGTTGTTATCAATGGAGCTACTGTATAAATTTTGTTAGTGCTTCTAATAGGTTCAAAAGGAGCGATCCAAGTCCTTGTCAGTTTTTGGAGTTTTGATTTCCCCAAAACTTCGAGCCTCCCAGCTGTCATTTGAGAGAGGTGGAAAACAGAACTCAAGATCTTAATTCCCCTTACCTTCTTTGTACGTACTCATTTGTTTATATCACATTTTATCATTGAAATTCTTTGCAGCACTAGAGACACTAATAGAAATAGCTAATATGCGATCGTCATTGTTATATTCTTTTCACCAACTTCAAAAGGCGGAAGATACCAAACAATGATAAAGTACCAGCTCCTTCAGGTATAGTTAAATAACCTTTGCTCTGTCTCTCTCTCTCTCCTATTTTTTGGCTGCACAAACATAGAATGATATTGGGGATTTATTTCTTTCAGTTGCATATCAAGACTATGGTATTGTATTTGTATTGACATTTGACACGTCAGATATTATTCAACATATATCATGAACAATGATGAAAACAAATGTGACACATACTTGGATAAAATTTTACTTTAATTCCCTGTGGCATAATGCGTTTTATTATAGATTTAACTCCTTTTTATTTGACATTCGAACAAAAATAGTGTTTTCTATAGGAACTAGGTGTGCGCCATTATATAACGCTAGTCACTAGGTGTCTATTAGACTATTTCGAATGCGATATTTTTCATAACTGAAGATCAAAATGTATTCACCAAAATGTTAATATCTTGATTATCTTCAATTTCAAACACCATGGGGGTGTTAGTGTCAAATAAATTACTGCGGTTGACAAACTGTCAATATCATAAGGGGGGGTAACATAATTTTCCTATATAAAATTCTCTTAATTGGCGCCAAAAGCTTTATCTTTCCCCCTCACCTAATAGTGGGAGGAGAGACAGAGAGAAAGTAGAAACAATCGGTTTAGAATAGTTAGTTATTGATTTTGTAACGATTTAACGAGGAATTCGTGAAGATGAGTTTTTTTGATTTTGTTTTTATCCACTTGCTGATTAATTGCATATACAGGCTGCTGGAAATGCTTCGCATGTGGACAATCTGATTGTGGTGTTGGGGATCCGGCATTCAAAGTTTCTGGTGTTTAATTTATAGATGTATCAGAAGATAGTGAACAGTTTCCTAATTATGCTCATTTCATTAATATATTGGTTATAATTAAATGAACGCTATAGTGAGAGGGGGACGGGTTTTACCCAACACGCGCATACAATTTTGGTCACCATGGAGGTTCCGGCACAACCCTTCTCTGCCAGACTGCCACATTTATGCCCCAAGTCAATACAAAGGATTTAGGCTTCATTGTGCTTGTTTGACCCAGGTACATCCTTAGCCGAGGAGGGTACTCAGGAGGGAAACCTGTTAGGCGCGAGTTTCATCGTGTTGTGGTCGAGGGAGTCTTTGACCCAGGTACATCCTTAGCCGAGGAGGGTACTCAGGAGGGAAACCTGTAGGGGGTTCGACCCAGGTGCATCCTTAGCCGAGGAGGGTACTCGAGAGGGAAACCTGTTAGGCGCGAGTTTTGTCGTGTTGTGGTCGGGGGAGTTCTCGGCCCAAGTACATCCTTAGCCGAGGAGGGTACTCGGGAGGGAAACCTGATAGGCGCGAGTTTCGCGCTCGAGGAGAGTGCTCGGCGTGTGTTCTTAGCGATGGAGTGCTCGACCGATTAGAGTGTTCGGTTTAGTGCTTAACATGCATAGTTATGGATCGGGCCTATCTGGGCAGTAGTATATATATGAAGTTAGCAACGATATCACAAAACGAATTAAAATGTAAAGTTTTGTATATTAATTTGAGTGCCTCATTAAAAACCTTGCCGACCCAAAACCCTCTTTAGGGAAAAAAAGTCAGTCAAGGAAAAGAGTGCATGGTTATACATCAGCTATAATACATCTTTAAATGAGTAGAGTTCCAAGTTCTAGGAATGGGTTCTCCTGATAAGTGTTCTAGCTTGTACGCTCCGTTTTGCAAGTTGTGTTGTATGCGAAAGGGTCCGTCCTAGTTTGGGACGAGCTTTCCATGTCTTGGGTCTTTTCTTGCCTCACTTGTGACCCTCCAGACGAGGTCGCCTTCTTGAAACTCTCTTGGCTTAACCTTGGTATCAAATTTCCTCTTGTAACGTTGTTTGCATGCTTCGGCTGTGATAAGGGCTCGGTCTCAAATCTCTTCCACGACATCTAGGTTTGCGCGGAGTTCATCCTTATTGTTGCACTCAACAATGTGGGCTCGGCGAAAAGATGGTTCGCCGATTTCCACCGGAAGCATCGCATAAGATCCATACACTAAGCGAAAAGGGGTTTCTTGTGTGGTCGATTGAGGTATGCATCTGTAGGCCCAGAGCACCTCGGTAATTGTTCGGCCCAGACGCCTTTCACCTCACCAAGCCGCTTCTTCAACTTGGTTAGGATGACCTTGTTGGCTAACTCGACTTGACCATTCATTTGCGGGTGCTCGATAGAGGTGACCTTGTGTTGTATCCCTAGGCCGGCTAAGAACTCGTTCAGTTTTTGATCCGTGAATTGGAGGCCGTTGTCGGTCACCAGAGTTGATGGGATGCTGAATCGTGTGATGATGTTCTTCTAGAGGAACTTCTGAACTTGGTGGGCCGAGATGTTCGCTAGGGGTTCAGCTTCGATCCATTTAGTGAATAAATCCATGGCCATAGTGAGAAATTTACATTAGCCTTTGGCAACCAGGAAATGTCCGAGTATGTCCACCCCCATGTGATGAAAGGCCATGCTGGGGGATGCAATGTAGTTGTTTGGCAGGTTGGTGAATCAAGTTGCCGTATTTATGACATGGTTGACACTTCTTCACAAAATTCGAGCAATCGGTGTTCATGGTCGACCAATAGTACCCAGCGCGCAAGAGTTTGGAGACGGTCGTTCGTGCTCTGGAATGCATTCCACAAATGCCCTTGTGCACTTCACGCATTACATAATTGACCTCTGTGGGGTCTAAACACTCGAGTAGTGGGGTAGAGAAACCACTTCTATACAAATGACCTACAATGATGGCATATCTACTAGCTTGTGTTCTTAGTCGCTTCGCCTCCACCGGGTCGTCCGGCATGACCCCATGGGTGATAAATGACTTGATCTTGGATCACCAGTCTGGGGAGTCGGTGGGACCGGTGTGATCTACTTCGATGCTTCCGACTGTCTCTACTTCAATGCTAGGGTGGTCGATCTCTTGCTGAATGATGGTTCGCAGTTGGCCCAGTTTTTTGCTCGCGGCTAATCTGGCCAATTGAGCCGCTCGAGCATTATTCTCACGCGGGATGTGCTCGACTGAGACTTCTTGGAAGGTCTCCTTTATCTTTTGGTAGGCGTGGTAATATTTCATCATGTTGTGATCCTTGACTTGGAAGGTACCACCCACTTGCTCGGCTACTACTTTGGAGTCGATTAAGCACTTAACTTTCGTAACACCCATGTCCTCGGCTAGCCTCAATCCTGCCAGCAGAGCTTCATACTCTTCACATTTTCCCCGAAAGCCATAGTAATGCTCCACCTCTCCCTCGTTGGCGTCACCCTAAGGCACATGGTCCTCACTGAGGGTGATGTAGTTACAAAACCCTCTACCCCTACGATCACTTTCTTCATGCATGACATCATTGGTGGATCAACCCCTTCGGAAAGAATCGTGGCTGGCACCATTGTGAACACTCAAACCAGTAACCTTCCTTTCTCAAAACCCAATAATAGGGTCTTCCCCTTCAAAGGTGCCATACCATTAGTTGATACTAGCACTTCCACTAATGTTCCTACACACACAAGCACCATGGTGGTGAAAAACATCGACAAAAACAAGGTCGTTATCGATAGGAACTCGAACTCCATTCCACTAACACTTGAGAAGTTTTTGTTTGGAAGAATAACGGTTATTGACGATGAAATAACAAAAGGGCACGAGTTGGGGTCAGGGGTCATTGGTAAAGCACAGGGTTTTCACTTGGCTAGCTCATTGGATGGAAGTAGCAGAACCATGGCATTTACAGCTTTATTTCGTGGTGAAGGTGATGATGACGATGATGGTGCTGTTAGTTTCTTTGGGGTGCATAGAACGGCTATACAGGAGTCTTATATTGCTGTTGTTGGAGGAACTAAAAAATATGATAATGCAAAAGGGTATGCGAAAATTGAGACTGTACTTTCACCTGAACAGCACACGACAAATGGGGTGGAAACACTTCTTCAGATTAGTGTCTACATAAGCTAGATTGCTGTGCTTTTTTTCATTGACATATTGTTTATGGTGGAATTAGTTTAGAGATTCTTTTACTTCAAACTAGCACGATAAGCGTTTCAATTTAGGTATATTGTGCTTTGAGTTTTACGGGATGAGACAAAAGTGGATTAGGAAGGTTAATGGTTACTTGTTTCTAAAGATTCTTCAATAATTAACAAGCAATAATTTCCATACACATAAATACTAAGATGAACAGAATGAATAATGGAGATACTTGCAATACAAATCATGGTTCAAATTGCATAATGTTCTAGAGTTACAATGCCAAAGCGCTGTAACTACGTGATTAAAAGAAAGAAAACGAGAGAACTACACTAATTCTACTCCTATAAAGCAAAAAGGAAAGTGGCCGAGAATTAGTCATACCTAAAAACGATTCCTTGCACGAAAGCCATATGCGCAGGCAGAGAGTGCTTGAGATTCTAGTCTTAGTATGAGTTTTCCGACCTCCGTAAATTACCATGCCTTGCATATTTATAGAGCTAATCAAGGGCAGTTAGTTGTGTGTGAGTTATTGGAAAATAACCGTTATTCACTACGTTCTCATTACGTGGTCTGACATATAACTTCTCATAACCACTCATCTCACGTGCTTTTATCTTTTCGATTCACTTTCCAATAACTGCTCTGTTTTGACTCCTCAAACCCTTTTAGAAAACCTCTAGCAACTTACTTTATCAATTCTTCGATCATTTCTCTCTTCGGCTCTCTTCAATTCGACCCATTCTCTTCGATCCCAACTCGAGCGCGAACAATTAAGGCTATTAATACGAATATATATATATATACATGTAAACTTTAAATTTACATGTTATGATTTATTTGCGGAATAAGAAATGAGACACGATCGAAAACAAGTAATATGTATTCGTGTATCTATGTATGATACATACCAAGTGAGTGATAAAAATATTATAAAAATAAATAAATCTTAGTATTACACTTAAAATAGATTATTAAGATTATATTTTTTTAAAAATAATATCAACCATATATTATGGTTACTTCATGTGGTTGTGATTATAGAATCAAAATTAACGCATTACTACAAATTGATTGATTATAAATTGTAAATATTCGACAATTACTGAAACCAATCTAGAAATTGAATCTATTCAATATTTAATAAAAAAAATAAAGTTTAATTATAATACAATAATCGCGTAAAGTTCTTGCATGATAAAAAATTAAAATTTGTGACTAAAATAATTATTAATTTATTATAAATTTATATATAATATTTTATATTGGGTAATAATACAACAAATATTACATTATTAATGTATTTTAATTATATTCATAAAAATAAGGTTAGGCACTTGTTGAATCACACAAAGTCACAACTATTTAATGATCGAGATAGAAAATGATTTTATTGAAATTTTCAAGACTAAAGTGACTAAATAAGTGACTTTTTTTTTCAGCCCACGAGACCCACTCATTCTCATCCCTCATCTCAGTCTCACAGGACCCAATTCAAAGCAAGGTTCAAAATCTCTTCATTTCCTTTATACTGAGCATGGTAATTTGGTAAAGCTAGAACTCTTGTGCAGTTAAGCTGAGTAAAATTTGGGGCTGCAACAAGCTGAAGCCTCACAGGCTTACTTGCCTTTGTTTTCTGTCACTTGTAACTCGTTTTTTCTTCCGTCACACGTTCTTTATTTGCTAGGGGCTAAAATTGTGTTAGATTGTGTTTAATTCTTGTTTCATTTTTCACATCATTGTTTAAATTGACCAGGACCCAATCCTGGTGAAAATGTTGCTAGATTTATCATGGTTGGTTCTATCAAATCAAGTTGCTTACGATGTGTTTGACAAAATGTCTCCCTTACCCTTCTGGTTTGGTTGGAACACTTTGTCTAATTTCACTCTACACATTGCTTCTGCTCTTCATAATTTCTCAAAAAGCATCAAATATATGGTCATACAAAACGAAAATATGAAAAGAGTTTGCTGATGCAAAAATAGCTTTTATTTAGAGAAAAAAGTCTATAAGATTAAAAATGATAATATAATCAAATTAAATTGAAAAAAAAAAGATAATTACAAATATATATATAGAGAGAGAGAAAAAGAGGAGAGATCCATTTATTCGAAGAGTAAGTCTACCTAAACTTACTTCGTACAATAACTCATGTTTTACATCAAATTTCAACGATTTTTTAAAAATTTATAGACTTGATCTATGTATTAAAAACTTTAAATTTAACGGTTGAATCGTTGAAATTTGACATAGAACATGAGTTATTAAACAAAATAAGTCTAGGTAAATTTATTCTTATAATAAACGGATCCCTCCTCATATATATATATATATATATATATATATAA